AAGTTTCCACGGTTTTTGTTCCGATCATTTGAAAAATTTGAGGAACTTTGTATTCCGGTGTGTTTTAGTTTTTTTTGTTTTCCACGCAAAATGAGGTACCATAAGTAATTATTGGAATGCGTCGAGTGATATATATTAAAGTCTTTTCAGTCGTGTCCAAAATTTTCCCCCTATGTTGAGACCTATGTTAGAGTTTTAGTCCTATTTCGAGCAAGTAAAGCGATCGAGTAACGTTCGTGATAAATATTTTTTTTTCCATTTAGGCTAAAAATAAACTGAATTTAACTAAAAATAAAACCAGTTTTGGAAGAAGCTTTATTAAATGCTTTCTCGGGCATACAATTTTTCATACAAATTTTAATTTTTGAAAAAGTTGGAATTTTTAATTTTTTTTCATTTTTCGTTTATTTGTTTTTTGAAGGCAATTAGTATTTTATGCGTAACTCACTAAAGCTCTACGCGTTTGTATAGTTCTCACGCAGAAAAAACGAGGCTTGTTTGAAAATTTTTTCTAGTTGTTTACGAATCTTATTCTTATGTTATTTTATTTCTACAGTATCTAGATACTCTAGGGAGGACATGTTACCTTTTATTCAGTTCGGCTCATTCTCTTAATTTAATTTTTGATCTGTTTATTTCTCAGTTGCGCGAAGACAACCAATCAGGAAGATAGAGAATTCAACTAAACGTCTGCAAATGAAAGAGCTGAATTTATTGCATTTGTTAGTAATCAAGACAAATCAGTGATTTTTGAAGAACAGGTAAGTTACAAATAAAATGTTATAATAGTTTTTTTTGTGCTTAAGTTATACCCTATTTTAGCCAAATGTTCTGCGCCGCAAGCAAAAATTTGAAAAAACAGGCCGAAAGGAATTTTTAGAAACTTTTTGGAAAGTTTTGACCAAAAAATCACGTTTTCGGCGCGCGCTCCCCCCTCAAAATTAGTATATATTGGCGCCTTTAGAAAAATTTTAGGGGTCGTCAGCCAAAAATGGATATCTCAAAATAGTACCAAGTGGGGGAAATTGAAAATGTGGAAATCGAGACAAGCGTAAAAAATCAATGGTAGTCTTTTTCGATATCTTCAAAATTTTCCAACTTCAGCGGCCCCATCTCATTTTCTGTCGGCTAGCTTGCCATGCTGCGCTCTGAATCTCCGTTGTGTTCATCATGGATGCTATAGTAAAGTTTTTGAGGCAAGTGATTCTTGGTCGGGAGGTGCGAGTTCATATAAGAAAACAATTCTGAACATTCAAATAATTTAAGATGAGATAATTTTCTTTGAAGATCGAATGGTGAAACTTTGATGAAAAAAACATATTCAACACAAATGAAAAAAAAATCGATAAAATCATTTTTTTGTCTCCTTGACTTCATCGATTTTTTTTCATTTGTCTGTTGAATTTTTTTTGTCTTCAAAATTTCACCATTCAATCTTCAAAGAATATGTTGTCGGTTGAATATGTTTTTCTCTTCAAAGTTTCACCATTCGATCTTCAAAAAAAATATCTCATTTTAAGTTATTTGAATGTTCAGAATTGTTTTCTTATATGAGCTCGCACCTACCGACCAAGAATCACTGGCCTCAAAAACTTTACTATAGCATCCATGATGAACACAACGGAGATTCAGAGCACAGCATGGCAAACTGGCCGACAGAAAATGAGATGAGGCCGCTGAAGATGGAAAACTTTGAAGATATCGAAAAAGGCTACTATTGATTTTTTACGCTTGTCTCGATTTCCACATTTTCTTCGTTTGTCTTATTGGTTTCATTGACCCTTTTCCTTTTGTATGTTGGCTAGTTTTTCTTTTTGAAACTGCTGGGGCTAGTATGAGTAGACGACTAAAAATTACCTCTCAATCACATATCTTGAGATAAGTTATTCACGAAAATAGCTGTATCAACAGACAAGGCTGCTCAATGCTGGGATTCTCAAGTATTTAAAGCAATGTTGATTTGAGTCCAGCAGCTGAAAAATTGTGGGCAGCATTAACTCTGCTACTGCCTCAAACCAAAAAAAAATTGACCAAACAGTTTCCTTAAAGAAAATTGAATTTTATCTATACTTTATTTGATTTGAAACTTGAAATATATATTTTGAGTTAAGTAATTCAAATCGAAAGGTAATTGAACTCTTTTTCGTTGAGCTGATCATGAAATAACAAAAAATGATATAAACAGACAAAATGAACGACAGATAAAATGATTTTTTTTTATTTTTGTTTTTTATCCTTTTTCGATAAAAACCCTTACTCGATTTGCCTTTGTACAGTGACTGTCGAATGTACCTTGTTTCCTGTTTTCTCCAAATCATTTCATCACAAAACGTGCAAAAAATGCAAAATCAGATATCACAAGTTAACGTATGATCGAGTCGATTGATATATCATATGAAAGCCCCTTTAGTCGTGATTCGAATGATATCAGAAAAAAAATGTTGAAAAGTTTTCTCTGTGTCGAGAAAAACCGGTTTGTAATATTTGATTGTTTTGTTTTAATTCGAGCGAGTGAGCGTGCTTGTATTAGCTTATTTATGCTTAATTTAAGACTTGAAATTTAAGATTTATTCTAATGAACTTAGTTTTTGGAGTTTTCAGCTTCATCTTAGAATTCAAAAACTTTCAAAAAGCACAGTAACCGGCTATCCTTGTTTTGATTTGGTTTTTCTCAAAATTTAACATGTCCTTCGAATATTTAATTTTGTTTTCGAGCCAAGACATACGGTAATGTAGTGAAGAAAAATGTAAACAAGGATAACCGGTTACTGTGCAAGTAGCACAGGATGTTCCGAACATAGTCTTAAAAGATACCCCAAAGTTATTTCAAATTATTATCGTTTTTTTTTCGACGTCGTGGATTAGGTATTTTAGGTACAAAAAATTGGGGTTCAAAATTTAGGAATCGGTTTTATTCGACAGCCATACTATGATAAGCAAATTGAAAAACAATTTTTCAAGAAAAATTAGAAAAACGAACAAAAAATGAAAAAAAAGCTTTTTAAGTTTATTGCAGTTTTTTGAATTTTCGAACCTTATGATTCCAAAAGGCGTTAAAATGCTCAAATTAAACTAACGTTACCCAAGTAAAACTAAGTTTTTACATTTTAAATTCAGCTATTATAAGCTTTTAAGCCATAATAAGACTGCTCGCTCGCTTTATTCGCTCGAAATAAGACGAAAAATCAAAAAGTTCAAACCGGTTTTTCTTGAAACTGGTTCACAAATTTGTGGTTCGACGTGGTTTGAATCACGTCTGTAAGGGCTTTATTATGATATATCACTCAATCCAGTCCGATGATTGTTTGTGTTTCCTGATTTTGCGTGGAAAACAAAAAGAAAAAAAACTAAAACACCCGAATACAAAGTTCCTTTTCATTTTCAATGTTCGGAACAACAAACTGTTAACCGCAAACAAAATCGTCATTTTTTGAAATCGTTTTTTCCTTTTTATTTAGCCCAAGTACACAGCTTGTTTTAGTTTATTTTCTCTAAAAATTCGACATGAAAGATTTTGTTCCAAATTGAGCTGACTAGGAATCTTTTTTTATGAAATTGAGAATTAAAATTTCTTATGTTAAATCAAGCAATTTTTTCAGCAGTGATTGTTTTTGTTTTTTTTTGTCTTTTTTAGCTAAAAAACCAAAACCAAGTACATCATTCTCTGCGCACTAAGGACTTTTATTTCAATTTTTTCTGACATCTCTCGAAATGAAGGTAGGAACTATATTATATACTCGGGAGAAATTTTCCCGCCACCGTTTCAACTGCGTTTGAAACAAATTCGATGCATATGTTGATATTGTGGTTTGAGTTAAAGAGAAGATTTGAAGGGCAGAAAAGGAACGGCGGGGGATCATCCAAAAAGAGCCTGAAAGCGTATTAAAGGTGATTTCTGTTTTAAGTTTATCTGCCGTGCAGACAATTTGATCAAATTGAGATCTTGATTGCGGGATGACTTTTAAGTTCCTAAGTTCAATTCAAATTTCTTGCTAAAAGGGAGGCAAATAGTGATCTCTAATTAAGAAATTTGGAATGACGAAAATGTGAATAACTTTAATGTTCGAAAGTCGAATTGAATTTTAAGATTTATCAGCTGATAAAAAAATCCAGTTTTTTGTATTTGGGATAGTTTTATGAAACAAGTGTTTATCAGAAAATATTATTGAAATTGAGAAATTCTCAAGGTGATACAGGCCATTTGACGTTCAAAAAAGGTTACTTGTTTTCTTCTGTTTTACTTTAGTTCAGTGATATTTTCCGAACATTTTAGTGGCTAAGTTTGTTGTATCATTGCAGCTGTTGCGAAGCTCTGTTTTTCTTCTGTGTCAGAAATTTTACCCTATTCAGACTGATGAGGTGAGTGGATGCCAAATTGGGTGGAAGGCCACTTTTCAGCATAATCAAATTCCCTGTTTGTACCCCGAAACTGGCAAAAAAATGAAACAATTTGATTTTCAAATAAAAATGCATAAAATTTTTTTGCACTGATTGCTTTAGTCTACAGATTCTGTGCTACTTTAAGAGCAATCTGCTGCTGTTAATCTTTAAAAAAGTTTCCACGGTTTTTGTTCCGATCATTTGAAAAATTTGAGGAACTTTGTATTCCGGTGTGTTTTAGTTTTTTTTGTTTTCCACGCAAAATGAGGTACCATAAGTAATTATTGGAATGCGTCGAGTGATATATATTAAAGTCTTTTCAGTCGTGTCCAAAATTTTCCCCCTATGTTGAGACCTATGTTAGAGTTTTAGTCCTATTTCGAGCAAGTAAAGCGATCGAGTAACGTTCGTGATAAATATTTTTTTTTCCATTTAGGCTAAAAATAAACTGAATTTAACTAAAAATAAAACCAGTTTTGGAAGAAGCTTTATTAAATGCTTTCTCGGGCATACAATTTTTCATACAAATTTTAATTTTTGAAAAAGTTGGAATTTTTAATTTTTTTTCATTTTTCGTTTATTTGTTTTTTGAAGGCAATTAGTATTTTATGCGTAACTCACTAAAGCTCTACGCGTTTGTATAGTTCTCACGCAGAAGAAACGAGGCTTGTTTGAAAATTTTTTCTAGTTGTTTACGAATCTGATCGGAACACTGTGCTGCTTACACAGCAACCTGTTAGCCTTGTTAATTTTATAATTTTATTTCAAAAAGCTTTAAATCAAATTTTACGCATTTCGAAGAAAATTTGATGGCAAATTTATTTAGTTACTCTTTTCTGTCTGTGTTCAATAGTTTTTAGGTGAAGAATATCTAAACTTCGTCTATTATATTACCAAACAGTGTAGCCTACTGAATTTATTTCTAGTTTACGGTTTCTAGCAATTCGTTATTTCAGTTTTCAAATCCCATCAGTTTTGCTTGTCCCATTTATAAAGCTGCTTGACAATTTCAGCGAAAAAGTCTTCGACTGATGTTGGCGCATAGCGGCTGCTCTCTCGGAATGGCGTCACAATTTGGCCAATGTCTGGGGCCACAAAGTAGGCCATTGATTGTCTCTTGGGACACATAATGGGATCCTCGGCATCGTCTAAAATATCAGAACAGTTCCAATTGGATTTTATACCATTGAACTTCAAAAAGTATTAACTCAACTCCACCGTACGAAGGCGCTATACTATTCCTTGCAAGTGCTGATACCAAAGAAAGTACAGAATCATATATTTGATTTTATTATTGAGTATTTTCTTCCTAAATCATGTGAATTTTGCGCTCATTTGAAGGAGATAAAGAAAAACAACGCTAGATGCTGTCGTCTGACCGCGCGCAATTTTTTTTCCACGTAAACTTTGAGCAGGTGTACAAGAAACAAGCTTATAGTTATGAGTGATTTCTAAATCTTTTTATTGGGTGCCTCTTGCTTTTATTGGATCGTTTCCTGTCCATTTTTTGGGCTTTCTTTCTATGGTAAAACAAAATCACAATCAGTTCAACCTCTTAACAGGGCCTAAAACGTTTTCTCCTTGGTATTTATATAAGACATCTATGAAATATGTTTTTAGCCAAATAACCTTGAAGTTGCTCTTACGATGCCTTTGGCATCCCTTAGTACGTATTTTGAGGAAAAAAAGGCGGAACCGACAGTATTTAAAATAGCTGGTTGCTCACCGCTTCCTTGGACTCCATATACATCCTTGTAGACTACTCTGTGATTGGCTGCTGTCAACTCATCGTCACTCCACCTATTCATGAGTTCCCCCATGTTCACCAGGATGTAGTTCGGCTCCTCTGCCTTGGTCAAGTTGACCCACTCCCCGTTCCTCTTCATCACTTGCAGTCCTGTGATGTCCTCGGAGATGAGAAAAGTGAAGGTCCTGTTTTGGAAAACAGTAGATTGATAAAGGCTTAACTGTTTTTGCATGTATACATTCGCTTAATTCGTTAGAAAAACGACACCATTATAGCATGAATGAAGTACACAAATTTCTAAACAAAATCTTGTTAAGAGTAATGAACAGAGTGAGTACTCTTATATAGGTCCTGCTGATTTTTGTGTATTTTTTGAGGAAGTTTGTTCAAGCTCAGTTTTAATTTTTCGCGGTTTGACTTGATTTTTTTAAGTTCAGTGCATTTACATTGTTAAAAGGAAGGCAAACTCCACTATCGAACAGTAAAAACGTAAAAGTCACGAAAAACGTGATCGACTTCTGATTTCGAAAATGGAAATAAAATTATCAGATTCCCCAGCGAAATAAAAGTTGTACGTATTGATCCAGTTTTCTCAAATTGGGTTAATTTTAACAAAAAAGTGTCCATCATAAGTTTTTCTACAAATTCAAAGAGTTTTAAGGCCATCTATTTTTTTTCTTTGAAATTCAAAAGTTAAAACCTCTTGAAAAAACAAGTAAGTTTTTTTTCAGTTTTTCTTGCGTTCATTACTGTTAGTTGGCTATGTTTCTTTTTTAATCAATTCAACGCGTTCAAATGGTTTATATTCAAAAACGCAAGAATATTAGTGCCTGCTTACTTTATTGGCATAGTTTTTTCATTTACAGAAAAAAAATTAGGCCCAAAAACAACAAACACTTTAAAATGTTAATTAGTCAGTGATCTAAAATTATCAAACACCAAGCCAAGCTGATAATTGAATGTTTTGGTTTGTTCGCTTCTCTGTAGTCCAAATATGTCAATTGAAAGTATTAACTTCGTCTCATTACAGTTCTGTAGAATTTTTTGAGTCTCCCTATCTATCGACAAATTACAATTTTAGTTAGTTACTCATTTTTGACAACATTTTTAGCTACTTTAAAACATAAGGAAAAAGTGTTCACGTTTTGTCAGTGTGTTCGGAGCATCTCAGAGCACCTTCTTCCACTTTAAGCAGGTCTGATTTCTTCAGCGGGTAGTAGTAGAGAAATTTAAGCAGTGTGGGGTTACCCTCTGCACCCATTTTGGTATGATGACGAGTGAAGAAGTCCAAATTCTTCCCAAATGCTAAATTGTTTTCACACATCATCAAGCATATTACTCCATTCTGTACATTACATTTCTGTACATTAAATTAACTTAAAACTAGAGAATTTTGGTTTAAAGTCGCCGTTGGGCTCCTAAGGTAACCGGCTCTAATTTTCGTATAAAATCCTTGACTGAGGCGGTATGTACAATGCTGATTTGAATTAACCGGACACAACGATAAAATAGTTGAAATTTTAAACGCGTATTTCTCAAAACGGGTTAAGATTAGACAAATAGTGAAGAGCACAAAAGTGTCTTAGAATTTCACCGAATTTAATATGATGCATTTTCCCCCAGAAATTCGTAACCAAAGATTTACGCAAAAGTTTTGAAAGTTTTCCCATTCTACAATCTTGAGGTGTGTAAGAGAATTCTCTTGATGTATTTAGAATTTAGAATTCTTCTGATCAATTAACTTGGTAGTTTCAGCATAATTATTGGTAAGTTTTAAAAAGCCAGAATAACCCATTTTTGGGGTTAAATTTTGATTAAAAATTTCACGGAAAAAATTGCATCAAAATAATTCTGGTGAAATTCTTAGAAACTTTTGTTATGTTCACACATTTTGTCTAATCTTAATCAAATTTGAGAAAAACGCGTGGGCCGAATTCCTGAGATAGGGGGCACCTCACCCTAAATCGGCTCCTGGGTTTGTGTGGGTTTGTATGAATTTGAAATAATTTTTTTCTGGTAATTTTTTTCAAGATTATAAACTTGATCCCATCTTTTAACTAAAATAGCAGGAAAGTCGTATGTAAACTGACCGACAGCAAGCACTCTGCACATGTTGGTTGCAATTTTGTTCAGCTTGTTGTAGAGCTGCAGGACAATTTCCTGGAAGTCATCGCTGGGCCATTGCATGTCCTCGTTACTCGTGACCTCAATGGGGACACAATTGAAACCCTCCTTCAAGTCAGCTGGTTTTGTGGGGTCAGGGTACTCAGTCTATGGCGATGAAACAAAAAAAGAAAACGTAAGAGTTAGTTACCAGTAGCTGTGCGAGTACGTCCGAAGCTTTCGATCACAAATACCTTAAGGAAACAAGAAAAATTTGCAATTAAAAAATCATTTGTTGGAATGAAAGTAGGGGAATCAATTGCGAAGTTGATGCTTACTTTGCTACCCTTTGAATAATTTAAATACTTTTTGAATTTTATAAAAAATAAACGTTGCATTATGTTCAGTTGGGTGCGCAGAAATTTTTCTAGGAGGGCGGCGTGTTTTCGAAAAGTTGCGAAACGTTTTTTTGGTCGATCAATGTGAGTTTCCGAGCTATCCGAAATACTAAAAGGATCTTATTTTGCCAAAAGTTTCTGCGCGACAGGCAAATTTTTCGAAAAACAGTCCACAAAAGGCGTTCTTAGGCACTTCGAGGAAAATTTTGACTAAAAAATTGCGTTTTTTTGCGCGCTCCCCCCTCAAAAGTAGTGATTTTGGCGCCTTCAGAAAATTTCTGAGGTTGGTCAGCCAAAAATTGATGCCGTAGAGTTATAACAAAGGGGGGACCCTTTGGAAAAATTTGGCAACCAGAATTGAGGGAGGCGCTCGAGAGAAAACACAACTAACGTCCATCCATCCATGGTGCCTGTGAATTTCACTTCCTCTCGCAAATTTCTGCTTCACATCTTTGGACTGGAGGAAGAACTGCTCCATGATCCCATTTGACTTCAAAACCTCCTCTTTTTCCAGTCCCGTGTTTTTGAGGTACAAAAATCCGGTTTCCTTTAGGGCAGAAAACACCTGATCCGCTATAGTTTTTATGGATTCAACATCGAGACACTCTTCGCTATTGGATGTAGATAGGCGCGAAAAGTCAATCACAGGCACTTCTACAGACATGGTTTGCGCAGTGTTCACAATACTCGTTTTATCAAAAAATTACTTATCTTAAAAATTTTTGATACCAACTTTTATTTGACGCAAGAAACTATTACGCGGTAAAATCAGTTTTGTTACCAGTATAATTATGCGGCCATGAAAAGTAAGCTTTCAGTTATCATGAAGATGAAAATAGAAAAATCAATACAGCTCTAGTTAATAAACCGAATAATTCAGCACACTGAAAATGCGTAGGTGAAAAAAAACTATATAAAATACGATACGAATCAAATTGAACAACGCTCAAGTAAGTTCTTAACTTATTGGAATCTCATACAAGAATTTAGGAGTTATATTGGAGTTAACTTATAACTGTACGCTATGAATTATAAAATGCAAGTATTTAAATTGCTAATCAAACAAAGATAACCGATGCTTGAGCGAGTAGCACAGACTATTTAGAAGTCAATAATTCTTGAAAAGAAATTCCTTAATAGAACAAAAAAATAGAAAAAAGAATTATTCTTCAAAGTTTTTTCGAGTTTCTAGCCAGACATTTAGCGTAGTGTACTAGTATGACTTTTTTTCCAAGGTAACTTGCAAATAAAACAGCATTTGATGACATTTTAGTTATAAACAAAATCTGTAATTTGGAAATTTCAAAGCATCTCGCTTCTCTGCTTTGTTTGGCTAGCGTTTGCCGGTTGTTAAGCGTCGGTGGCTGAAAGGGAAGAGTGTGAGACTCCAAATTGAAAGGTTGCAGGTTTGAATCCGATACGTAGCAAAATCTTACCGCTTGAAAATAGTTGGTCTCACAATGGCTGCCCTTTTCCAATATGTATTCCTATAAATTATCAATCGGGGGACCAGAAAACTAGATAAATGTCCAAATAATAATTACAATTAGTGGCAGAACCTATCCAACTGAAAAAAAAGATACTGTCATGAAGAAACAAGAAACTAAATTAGAAAGTGCTCTAAAAATAAATTAGATATATTTACCCTTGCGTTAAGCAAGGGTATTGCAATCGGGTACTAGACTATTTTCCAGTAAACAACTTTGTCCACAGGACTCATCTAGGCTCGTGGTACGTTGGTTTATAATCATTTCATTTTTTTACTGTCTCCTGCACACTAAATATGGAAGTAACGAATACGCCTGGTAAGCCAAAGGTCTCAAGTTTGAATCTGACTAGGACCTGTTTTTTTAATCCCTGTTCAAAAATCCCTGTTCAAAAAAACTCGGCCAAATTCTTGTCTGTTTTTGTTTTGTCAGCTTAGGTGCTGTATCTAAGAATCGTTTTTTTTGCTGTAAAAAATTGTTATAAAAGTTATAGCTTTTTAAAATACTGTGGAATCGAAATTTGTTTTTATTACTGGTTGTAATTTTACCAACTCGATTTGTCAAAGTTTCTTTTTTTCATTTGTATTTTTTTTATCAAATAATAAGGTTCGGATTTATTTATATCAACCCAGTGGCCTTGTATTGCATCGTTCGGGGATCGAAAAAAAGATTGTGTTGGTGAGGGAAAAGGGGACCTACAATTTTTTTTCTAGTCAAGAAGTTTTTTGAATTTTTTTTCAGCATAAAGTTTTTATTCTGTTCAAATTTTTTGTCCATTTTGCCAACTATACTCCTATCATACTCTCGGTTGCAATTTTTACGCATGGTTGAGATGGTTGATTATGTTATTTTAAGAATCAAGAATCCTTCCTTTTCAAAAGTTGCTCTTTATGTCGGATGTGATTTTTCCAACTCGATTTGTTAAAATATAATTTTGTTTTTTTTTTGCCTTTTTTCCGGCTTGATAGGCTTTGGCTTATTATATGTCGGCTTACTGCCCTATTTTCATGTAGTTTGAAGGGAAACAAAACTTTTATGATCTCCTCTTCAACGCGCAAAACACTAAAAATCATAATAGAACAACAACAATTTTTTCAGGACAACAATTTTTTCGGCTTTTTTTGACTTGATAAGTTTCGGCGTACATTAAATCGGTTCAATGAACGCATTTTTTTTACTTTCAAATAGCGGAAAAAATTGTGTTTGACAGCTAGGTTTTGATGGTGAGGAGGACTTAAAAATTTCTTATTAGTCTAAATAAATGTTTTTTCATTTTTTTTGGCCTGATAGTTTTTGGCCTATATTACATTGGCTTAGACGCGTCGTTTTGCGTCGTTTAACGTGCTGTGTATGTGTTTTGTGGGTGAGAGGAACTTGATAACTTGTTTTAATCCTTAATTTGTTTTTCAGTTTAGCTTTTTCTTTCCTTTTTTTGGCCTAATAGGTTTCGGCCAAAATTATATCGGCATAAAGGCCGCATATTGTTTCATTCGACGCGTGAATGAAGTTTGCGTGTGTTTGTTTGTTTATATGAGGGTGTGGGGACTTGATATTTAAAAAAACAATTTGTTGGCCTAAAGGCATCTGCTAGAGTATTTCCGGCTTTGTAAGCGATTGATAACTTTTCTTTCGATGCTAGTATCACATTCTATTGTCTAGGCTCGTTTTTGTCTCAAAATTTAGCCTTATCCATAGATCTTGTTTTCTCGAAATTTCGATTTTTTTTTCGACTTAGCGGCTTTCTTGTTTCGTATCGAAAGTGGTGCGAAGCTCAGCTTCGCCTCTGTGTTAAAAATTGTATAAATAATAAATTAGATAAGTTATTTACATAATTTTAACTGAAAATTCTAGGTGTTTTTTTTTTCAATAAATGAATTTCAACCAAAATGTTCCAATATACAAAAATTGCACAACTCTTGGGTATCAAAATTTTTCACACAGGGCAACAGCACTGGGAAACTAATTTTCCCCATATTTTTTTTTTTTTTTTTTCGTATCTTGCGCTATCTAAAGTCAGGTTTTTAGATCTTTTGCTCGTGTTTCTATGGGTAAAATGTTACCAAAATGTACCAAAATTTTCATCTTCACCATCATGTATCATTAAAACCCCCTGAGTTTTAAGGCTTAGTGTGTGCTTTGCAAATTTGGATTCTTTGGTTTTGCACCTGAATAGTTGAGTCCACAGTCCTTTATTTTTTTTTTGGCTGCGGATCCCGCAACCAAGACAAAAACTTGCGCTGTAAATTTTTCACCGATTATTTTTTTGTCCCCGTTTTTCCAGTATGGGGCTGAATGTGTCCAATTTTTATTCAGCTAAGGAGCTGAATGAGCCTACGTTTCAGCAAAATGGGCACATTCAGTTTCCTTATTTTAATTTGCAAAGACTAAACTGAATAGTAAATTGAAGGATTGGTAGATTAGAGGTAGCACAGAGAGCTTGGTTCTTCAATGAGTCAGTTCGATTTCGACGATGAAGTTTTTGTACAAAAGGGGATGAACGAACCCAATAGTTGGACGTCGTTGGTTTTAATTTTCATTGAAAACTAGGTGATCAATCCTACAAACAATTGGGCTCTTTCAATCCCATTTCAGAAACAATTTGATGCAAAAGTTCTGGGATTTGATACCCCGCTTTTCTGATCTGTGGCCCGTTACGTTCCCGGGTCGAAACTTTCACATAAAAACTCAATGAAAAGGGGCTGAATTTTTGTCATGAAAATATTTAACAGAATTGCGCCGAATTAGAAGCCCGATGTTAACAAAATTGAGCTCGTTCATCCCCTTTCTTGACTAATCAATGACTAAGATTTGGGCTCGTTCAAACCCATTTTATACGAAAACATTTCCTCGATGGACTCGAACCAACTCCTTCGGTTAACTAATACGTCCGTTTCCGAATTATGATGAAACTGTCGCCCCATTGTTTCTGCCAAATTGTAGTTATTCGTAACCAGTAGTTTGTTTTGGTTCTTGCAATGTCATCGTGTGAGTTGAGGTTCCAAGAATCCCTGCACCAGAGGAGTCCACAATTTTTGGACCAATTTTACCTGATTATCTTTTTTTGCGACAACCAAGTCGGTTGGTCTCCTTTTTTTCCTCCTGTTTCACTTTTGCTTTTTTCGTCTGGGAACTTATTAACCATTAGTCTTAGTATCTTGCATATCACGAGCACGGTATTAGGGTCCTTATATCGCGCTCGTGATATGCAAGATACTAAGACTAATGGTTAATAAGTTCCCAGACGAAAAAAGCAAAAGTGAAACAGGAGGAAAAAAGGAGACCCACTGATTTGGATGTCGCGAAAAAAGATAATCAGGTGAAATTGGTCCAAAATTGCTAGAGAAGTATAAAAGTGGACTTAAGTGGGCGAAGTTAAGCTTTAAACGGCGACATTCCCATTAACGATTGGTTTGAAATCGTTGCTAACACATAAGCGATTGTTAATCCGACCATTGAAAATGGGGAGGAACTTTGTATTCGGGTGTTGTATTCGGTAGTGTTTTAATTTTCTTTTTTATTGTTTCCCACGCAAATCGGGTTCTATCAACGGGATGGGTCGAGTGATATACAAAGTTAAAGCTTTTTCAACCGTGATTCGAACGACAGTTAAGCTTCGTGTCGAGAAAAACCGGTTTGAAAGTTTTGATTATTTGGTCTAATTTTGAGCGAATAAAGTGAACAAGCAAGCTTATTTTGTTTTGAATATTTTCCACAAACAATCAAAAAGTTGTCCTATTGTCGAGAAAATTGGTTTGAAACTTATGAGATTTAGTCTGATTTCGAGCGAGTCAAGCAAGCGAGCAGGCTTATTATAGAAGGATGAAACAATAGTTTATTATCACGTAAGTAAATTTTTTAGAGCGATTTTCAGTTGAAATTTTTTTCCTTGTCAGTTTTCGACAAAACTGTCGCTCGATCAGCTTATTTTACAAAGAAAGTCGAATATGTCTAATTTTAGGTTTTCTTTATACTCTTTCATCACACCACATCACACCAAAAAGCTTGAAGAAATGAGTATATATTTCTTAAGACTAGTTGTGCTACTTCCTCAACAACCGGCTAACCCTATTTTAATTTGATGAACAGAAGCTCTCCCAGGTCGGATTTCATGTTTTCTACTGCACCCCAGTCGTTGGTTTATCGTTCAGTTTAGTCTTTTTGCCGTGCCAGCTGCGCAGGTGATCTTCTTGCTGTGTTTTTCTTCTCTCTGTTGCTGCAAAACTCTTACCCAAACTTTCCCACCGAACGTGCTTGCCTGACACGGTTAAGTCGAGCAATTTTGATTTTAAACTTAATTTCTTTAACAGATCCGATATCGCAAAGTTTTCCCTGTCAATTTTGAGCCTCTTTCGGAGGTTTCAGCCTCTGCCAGATGCCTTCTGGTCGTTTTTGAGCCTCCATCTTCAGTTTCGGGTGCGGTATCATCTGCTTTCGTTGCTTCGTTTTCGTGAACCTTTTTCTCACTTCTTGTATCCTACAATATCAGTTTCTGTGGATCTGTCGCTCATCTTCTCATCTTCTGTTTGCTC